TACACCTCTGTCTTCCCCTTGCGTCGCAAGGCGGACGTTAGCGGTGTTTTGATCCCCTGGATCCGTGCTACTCGTCTCCAGCTGCACGAGCTTTTTCAGCAGGACTTCCCAGTCCTGCGTCTGCACTCTGACAGGGGCGGTGATTTCTCTTCTGACCTCCTTGCGGGGTTCTGTCGAGACGAGGGCATTTGCCAGTCGTTCACGCTTCCGGCCTCTCCTCAGCAAAATGGGATTGCTGAGCGTCGCATTGGCTTGATCATGGAGGTTGCTCGCACCTCCATGATCCATGCGGCTGCTCCCCATTTTCTGTGGCCGTTTGCGGTCCGATACGCTGCGCATCAGCTCAACCTCTGGCCCCGTGTCTCTGAGCCAGAGACCTCGCCCACACTCCGGTGGACGGGGAAGGCTGGCGATGCGTCAGTGTTTCGGGTCTGGGGCGCGCTCTCCCTTGTTCGCGATGCCAAAGCGAGCAAGCTCTCCTCCCTCACTCTTCGCTGCGTCTTCCTTGGCTTCCCCACTGACGCCGCGCCGTGGCAGTTCTACCACCCGTCCTCGCGTCGAGTCTTCGCCTCCTAGGACGTCACTTTTGACGAGTCTGTCTGCTTCTACCAGCTGCACCCGCACGCGTCTCACCCGGTCCCCCTCGCACCCCTCTTCCTGGTACCAGTCCCCCCCCCGGTAGACCCACTCCCCCCACAGGGTCCTGCTCCCTCAGGTGTGTCTCAGGTCGACCAAGCCCCCTTGGATGAGCCAGTGGAGATCTCTTCTGACTCCTCTGGCCCAGCTGAGGGGGGTAACCCTGTTGCGGACGACACGGCGGCCACTCGCCACCCTCCACGCTTGGAGATCCCCCCGGGCTTTCCACCTCGACCGTCTTCTCCGCCTCCACGGCCTGCTGCTGTGGACTCTGGAGCTGAGACTGCTGGTGCTGAGCCTGGGGGTACTGTGCCTGAGGTTGCCCGCTCTCCTCGCTTGGAGACCCCCCCTGGTTTTCCGCCTCGGCCGTCTTCGCCGCCTCAGCAGCCTGCTGCTGTGGACCCTGGAGCTGCTGTTGGTGGTGACACTGGGGGTGCGGGTTCTGGGGGTGCTTCGACTGGAGGTGCTGACTCTGGGGGTGTTGCGAGTCCTAGTGGCGGTGGAGCTGTGGGTGACCGTGCTGGAGGACGTGGAGCTGGACAGTCTAGTCCACCTGGAGAGCCCTCGCCGGAGTGGATCCGTGCGTGGATCGTTCGCCGTGGCCGTCCTGGTGGTGGAGGTACTCCTGGATGTGCTACTGGTGCTGGAGGTGCTGGAGCTGCTAGTCCTGGAGGTACTGCTGGTGCTGGAGGTGCTGGAGCTGCTAGTCCTGGAGGTACTGCTCGTGCTGGAGGTGCTGGAGCTGCTAGTCCTGGAGGTACTACTGGAGGAGCTGCTGGTGCTGGAGGAGCTGGAGCTGCTGGTACTGGAGGTGCTGGAGCTGCTAGTCCTAGAGGTACTGCTGGTGCTGGAGGACGTGGAGCTGCTGGTGCTGCCGGTGCTGGAGGTGCTGGAGCTGCTGGTCCTGCTACTGGTGCTGGAGGTACTGGAGGTGCTGCTGGTGCTGGGGGACGTGGAGCTGCTGGTGCTGCTGGTGCTGGAGGTGCTGGAGGTGCTGGAGCTGCTGGTCCTGCTGCAGGTGCTGGAGGTACTGGAGGTGCTGCTGGTGCTAGAGGACGTGGAGCTGCTGGTGCTGGAGGCGCTGGAGCTGCTGGTCCCGCTGCTGGTGCTGGAGGACGTGGAGCTGCTGGTGCTGCTGGTGCTGGAGGACGAGGAGCTGCTGGATCTGCTGGTGTTGGAGGTGCTGGAGCTGCTGGTGCTGGAGGTGCTGGTCCTGCTGCTGGTGCTGGAGGTACTGGAGGTGCTGCTGGTGCTGGAGGACCTGGAGCTACTGGTGCTGCTGGTGCTGGAGGTACTGGAGGTGCTGGTGCTACTGGTGCTGGAGGTGCTGCTGGGAGTGCTGGAGGAGCTGCTCGTGCTGGAGGTACGGGAGCTGCTGGTGCTCTTCGCCACCTTCTCAGTCTTCCGCCAGGTGCTACTGACCTCCCTGTGGCAGGTACTACTCCTCCGTTACTGTTTCCACCGGCAGACCAGTCACAGCCGCCGCTGCTACCGCACTCCCCACTGCCTGCTCCTGCTCCTTACACTGCAGTGACACAGTCCCTGACTGAGCGTCGAGAGCCTGAGACTCGTGCTTCCACCCCTGAGCGTCGAGAGCCTGAGTCTAGCTTTGACCTTGAGCCCGAGCCTAGAGCTGCTGTCCGTGCTCGTGTTCCTCGTGTTCGTCGTCAGCGTGCTCCGGCTGTCCCGGGCACTCACGATATGACACTCCGTCCTTCCTCTGTTCCACAGCGTGTTGTCCTGCCGTTACCTCCTGCGTCCTCTCTTCCTGACGTTGCTGACCCTCCGTCTGACCTTGCTCGTGCGTCCAGTCCGACTGTTACTCGCTTTCTTGCTACGGTTGTGACTGACCCTACGTTCTCGTCTCCTGCTGCGTCTGCCTTAGTCGCTGAGCTCGTTGACCTTGCTGCTGTGTACCGCCTAGACTACCTTGCGAGTCTTGTTTCTGACCCTATCCCTGCCTGTCCTCCGTCCGTCGGGGGTGAGACTGCCCTTGGCTGTACTGCCCTTGGCTGTGACGTTCTTGAGGACAGGCAGGAGGAGCTGGAGTGCCTTGCGACCGCTGTACCTCATCTCGCTGCCATGCTGCTTGCCCCTGAGGGAGACCCGGATGCACTGGACATCCCCACCCCGAGCTCTTACAGAGAGGCGATCTCGGGTGAGTACTCCTCTAAGTGGCAAACAGCCATGGACGCAGAGATGGCTTCCTGGAAGTCCACAGGCACCTACGTCGACGAGGTTCCCCCACCTGGGGCGAACATCGTCAGTGGCATGTGGATTTTCAGGGTGAAGCGGCCGCCGGGTTCTCCGCCTGCCTTCAAGGCACGTTACGTTGCTCGAGGCTTCAGTCAGCGTGAGGGAGTTGACTTCTTTCAGACCTTCTCCCCCACCCCGAAGATGACCACTCTTCGGGTGTTGCTACACGTTGCAGCGCAGCGTGACTACGAGCTGCACTCCCTCGACTTCTCGACAGCTTTCTTGCAGGGTAGCCTTCACGAGGCCATCAGGTTGCGCCGTCCACAGGGCTTCACCGGGTCGTGTCCTTCGGGTACCCAGTGGAGCCTACGGCAACCAGTGTACGGCCTGCGTCAGGCACCCCGCGAGTGGCACAACACACTGAGGACGACACTTGCGGCTCTTGGGTTTGCTCCTTCCACTGCTGATCCGTCGCTGTTTCTACGCACTGACACCACTCTGCCGCCGTTCTACATCCTCGTGTACGTAGACGACTTGGTCTTTGCTACTGCTGATACTGAGGCACTGGCCCGCGTGAAGACGGAGCTGCAGGAGAGACACACCTGCACTGACCTGGGTGAGCTGCGGAGCTATCTTGGCTTGCAGATCACCCGGGACAGAGCACGGCGCACCATCACCCTGACGCAGTCACACATGGTGCACCAGGTCCTTACAGCGCTTTGGCTTCACGTGGTCCTCGCCACAGCCCACTCCTCTGTCTACCGGCCACTCGCTCTCAGCTCCACCTTCGGACCCCCCTTGACCTAGTCGACATCATTCCTCTTCTCTTAGTTTAACAACTGGCTGGACTGGTACAGTAGAGGGACGGGGAAGGAGAAGGGTGGGGAAGGAAGGGGGAGGGGAGGGGGGGGGGAGAGAGGGGAAGGGGGACACTTGGATACTTTGTTGGTAGCAGATGAAAGTAGACGCGATGTCTGAAATATCAGACGAAATATAACGCTTTGTCTTTTTTTTTTTCAGACGAAATAAAAGCGTCAGTCTTATGGTTCAGATGAAATTAAATTGCTGGTCTAGAAAATCAGATGAAACGAAAAAAAATAGGTCCGATTTTCATACCATCAGACCGATTTGGTCTAATAACCAGAGCTCTGGGAACATACCCGAAGTTGGATATTCCATGCATGTGTTTCTTCTTCAGACCCCAGTTTAGAAAGACATTGAGAAAGCTTGCTTTCTTGTTTTTATCATTTGGCATCGTTCTCATTGCAAATGGCATATTACAACATATCCATCGAGTTCTAACACAAGCTAGTACATGCAGAGAATACTAGCTAAGATGTACCGTGTCCAAACGGCCGTAGTAGGCAGTCGATGCTGGGGTGGGTGGTGGGAAAGTTGAGTGAGCCGTTGGAAATAGAGAAACGTGGGTGGAGGGAAATAAGCTCCAACCCACGGTTTTTGTAGTTGGAGAAGGGCGTTTAGCGCGCTTCGACGATGCCAAATGTGCAGTACAAGCAGCTTCGCTTTCACAATACACAATTAAAAAAACACAGTGTGTGTTTAAAAAATATATTTTTTTCTATAGTGGAAGGGGGGCTAAATATCATACAATACGGTACTAAATAATTCAAAGGCTATAATGCTGCTATATGTGTAACTAAATTTTGCTGAAACAAAGGGCTACCTTTGACAATTTCGATTTCTGTTCATACACCCCGGTCCAGAGATAACTGTCAATATTGGAGGGTGATGCATTTGGCGAAATGCAGTCCGGTTTAGAATTGTTAGTAACGTATGTAGCCCCACTCTCTCCACTGGGAATGTTATTCACATGGCAGCAGTGGAGCAGTGCGCCATACAGGCCGTCCTGCGGCTGCTGCCAGACTTGACAGCAGCATGAAGCTAAAAACTTGATGCAGAAGCTGCAGCAGTGCTCGTGTGCCGGACGGCATGGCCCAGAGCGCAGACAAAGGAGCAAGGGGACACAAGGGAGACGAGGATGGAGAGATGGAAAGCATGGGTGATGGAGAAAGAGAGATTGACCGATTCTACATGGCCCCATGTGCTAGTGCCCAAGAACGAGTGAGGCCCCGGCTTGGTCTCCTTCCATCCACCCCCCTCTACACTCCCATCTTTGTGGTCACCACGGGGAGTGCATGGGGAGGGCGTCAGGAGGGCACAGGGCGAGCAGCAGGCGAGGTGGCAATGCTGCTGCTGCTTGATCCGCCCTCCTCACTGCCCTCCGACATGATTGTTGCCACCGATGGGTTGCGCGATGCCCCCCCCACCCGCGCCTGTGCCGCCGCCCCCCCTCCCCCCACCCCTCCCCCTGCACCCTGCCACACCCGACTAGAAGGCTCTGCTGCGGCGGCTGATGGTGGCGGGCGGCCGTGGTGCTGCTGGGCGGAGGAGGTGGCAGCAGGGGACGCCTGCCCCTGCCCACCTGCCACCCCTGTGCTGCCACTGCCCGCAGCAACGGCGTTGCCACTGCCCACAGCTCTGCCGTCCCCACTCCCCTTGCCTGCCCCATTCCCACCTCCAGCACCGCCACCATCTGAACCTTCGGTGCCTCCTGCAGCAGCGGTAGCAGTGGTAGCAGCAGGAGGGATGTCGAGGGGAGGAGGGGGAAGGGCGTGAAGGGGCATGTTGCGAGGAGGGGAGAGAGGGGTGAGGGAGGAGTAGTAGGGGTGCGATGGGTCGATGGGGCCCGACTTGTGCAGCCGCACGGCACTCACCCCGCCACCACCGCCACGCCCTGCTGCTGATGCTCCACTCGCCCCACCACTGCTCCCTGCTGCTCCTGGCACCGCTGTTCGCACAGCAGCAGTGGTGGTGGAGGCGGCGGGGCGGGCATCCCCCACGAGCCCGAAGGCGGAGTACAGCGACCCGCGCGTGATGGGGTCACTCACTGCGCGGCTGCCCGCGCCCACCGGGGGCAGATGCGCGAAGGGGGCCAGGTGGAATGGTGCGGGTGCAGCGGCGGAGGGACGGGGGGACACGAGCGCATGCACGCTGCTGCCAGGAGTCTTCAGAGAGGACGTCTGTGGCAGGCGCAGGGCGGCAGGCACAGCGGACGGGACTCTGCCTGCTGCTCCTGCTGCGGGTGCTGTTGGCATTGTTGGCGCTGATGCTGCTGAGGCTGGTGGTGCTGTCTGGGAGGGCAATGAGGGGGTGGGTGCAGAAGAGTTGGGTGCGGTGCTTCCAGCAGCAGAGGGTGCAGTGGGGAGAGCGGTGGCAGTGGCGAGCATGGGTCGGGGTGAGAGGGCGGGCGTGCCGTACGGGTAGGAGCCGCGCAGGATGGGCCCCGACATGCTCACTCGCGCCCGACCTGCATTGCTGCCCGCGCCCCCTCCTCCCCGTCCCCTACCGGCTGCTGATCCCACTGCTGCTGCTGACCCACCTGTGCTGCCACCTGCTGCACCTTGCCCCGGGCCTGCCCCCACGCCAGCACCCACCGCAGTCCCCTGCACTGCGCCTGGCATGGCAGAGGCGCAAGGAGGAGGCTTGGCGCCACCTGGGGTGGACTTGGGACCGCCAGCAGCAGCAGTGGCAGCGCCAGCAGGTGCCGCTGCTGCAGGTGCAGGCGGTGTGGGTGGGGTGGCAGTGGCAGAGGCAGAGGGCGCCAGCAGGGACTCGGGGCGGGGGAGAGGGCCTGACATCTGCGGCGCAAAGGGCTCCATGTGCGGCGCTCTGCCCCGCCCTGCTGTTCCTGCACCCGCTACCCTCGGTACCGCCACCCCTCTGCTGCCTGCCGCCCCCATGCCCCCCCCTGTGGCGGCTGTGGCTGCGAGCGGCCCTCCCAGGGGGGCAGCAGAGGCAGCGAGCGCGCCCAGGTAGGCGGCGGCAGAGATGGGGCCCGACTTGGACGCCCCCAGGGCTGGCCGTGCTGCCCCCACCGCCCCCGTGCTGCTGCTGCTGCCATGCCGGCCGTGCGACGGCGCTGCTGCTGCTGTTGTTGGTGCTGTGGGCGAGTCTCCATGCACCTGTGGATGCTGCAGCACGCCCGCTCCTTGAATGCCCGCCATCTCCCCCGCACTGCGAGGCATGCTCCTTGCACCGCCACTCACCGCACTGCCTCGCCCACCCGCCCCTTGCCCAATCCCCCCTGGCCCTCCCGCCCCTACTCCAGGCGCATCCGCCCTGACAGTGGCAGGCGGCAGCAAAGAGGAGGGCGCAGGTGGCGTGGGCGGGGCGCTGGGCGGCGGTGCTTGTGCGCTTGTGGCAGGAGGGGCTGCGGCAGGCGCATGGGAGGCGGCAGGCATGGTGGCAGTGATGGGTGCGGGTGTGGAGTGGTGCGCGTGGTGGGGGGAGGGGGGGGAGGAGGGGCCTTGATGTGGAGCTTGCTGCAAAGGGGGGGGGGGGGAAGGGGCAGGGGCATTGATAGGGGGCGGGGGTTAAGAGAATGGGAGAGAATGCATGTTGGGCGAATGTAGAAAACAGATGGAATGATGGAAATGGAGCAAGGGAACAAGAAAGAGCAGGTGGAACAAAGTCAATAAGGTGATGACAATGAGAAAGTGAGTGCACGCACAGGTGATGCGAGTGGCACGTTGAAGGCATCGAGGCAGATCTGCCTCACGCCCACTCCACTGCCTGCCCCCCCCTCGTCGCCCCACTCATCGCCCCACTCGTCCACGTCCCCCTGGGCGACGGGTGTGAGCAGCGGCGTGTGGGCGAGGCCCAGGTGGTCCAGCACGTGCAGCATGTGTGGCTGCACCTGCTGCACCTCCCTCGCACTGCCCCGCACCCACCGCACCTGCGGGACGGCGGTGGCATTGGAGACGAGGAGGACAGCGGCGGGGCAGAAGGAGGAGCAGAGGGATTGTGGTGTGTGCCAATAAGAGCTTGTGGGTGCAGGGGCAGGGAATGGAACAGGCAGCGGGGCGAATGATGGCCAACCGCACTCCATGGAGTGCACATGGAGGGGAGGTTGCCACGCACTGTGAAAGCAACTTCCCTTGCCTCCGCCTGATTGCTTCAGAACGCAACACCTGTGTGGTCTCATCAAGCGCACGCCACAGGTGGTGCAGTGCAGGTGAGCCCACCTTGGCGGCGTGGTGTTTGAGGGCGAGTGTGAGCAGCAGGCGCGGCTGGCGCTGCTGCAGTGCCAGGATGCGGCACCCCAGCGTCATCGCCACCTCGTCAAACTCCTCCCTTGCTGCCGCCTCCTCCTCCTCCGGCCCCCCCGCCCCCTCTGCCTCCCCCCCTGCGCCCGCCCCTGCGCCCCCCCCCACGCCCATGGCAGCCGCCTCTCTGCGCCTAGCCTTGGCCGCCACTGCCGCTGCCGCATGCGCCCTCCTGCTCGCCCGCACGTTGTGGGCGCGCGGGGAAGAGGCAGGGTGGGAATAGGGGACCAGCAACAGCCAAGACGGGGTACGTGAGGCGAGGCACGTGGGGCGAGGCACGTGGGGCGAGGCACGTGGGGCGAGGCACGTGGGGCGAGGCACGTGGGGCGAGGGAAATGAGGTGAGGCACGTGAGGTGAGAACGGTGCAGAGGAACGAAATGAACAGGCCAGTCCCAGCTTAGCTTTGCTGATTTGAACTCCCTTCTAGTTTCAACCACTTGTAACGATACTATCCGGCCATTTTGTCTCTGTGCACCCCTCCCACTCGCTTTGAACACTGTGCTGTGCATGCAGTCTCAAGCGTGACACGGCACGGCAGCTGCATTGGCATCACGCCATCGCGCATTACTCACAACCCTTTTCTGTGTGTTGTGTGATATGAACCGAGCAACCAAGGACCGGACTGGACTGACACTCACCTCTTCTGCTCGTACAGCTCTTTTGTTTCCTGGTGGAGGGAGGATGGCGGAGGACAGAAGAAGACGAACCAGAGTGTGAGACGGACAAAGGGCAGATGGGACGGTGGGTGAGGATGGGAGGTAAGGATGGGAGGTGAGGATGAGAGGTGAAATCTCACCGGCCCGACTGATACAAAGGTCGAGCCGTTTTGGGAATTGGGGGGGAGGAGCGGAAGGGAGGGGGAGGAAAAGGGGGAGTTTGACAACTTGTTTGTGCGTGCTAGCCCACTCATGTTTCCTCTTGCTAGCTCTTTGGTCCAACAAGTTTCCACAACCGTTAAGTTTGGGTTTCGTGTTAAGTAATTTGACCTAGGCATTACTAGTCACTTCAGCATCTTCGAAGCTTACAGCACATGGCGAATGTACTGGTCGCAACACCTGCCAAAGCGGCACCAATTGCACAGGATACCTAATGCTTATTCATGCTGATCTCACCACCACGTGCTGCATCTCACCACCACGTGCTGCATCTCACCACCACGTGCTGCATCTCCCCCAGCAGCGCCTCTGCCGGCTCCGCCAGTGTCTGCTGCAGGTGCAGGCTCTGGGGGCATGCGGGCATCGGGGGGTAGGGGCGGGCGGCGGGCAGATGGCAGAGAGAAGGAAGAGGGGAGAGCATTGAGATGAAAGAGGGCAACTGGACGAGTTGAAAGGGGAAGCAACACCGCTACATTAAAGCAGGGCAGCTCACATAGAAATAGAGCAGCTCACATAGAAATAGAGCAGCTCACATAGAAATAGAGCAGCTCACATAGAAATAGAGCAGCTCACATAGAAATAGAGCAGCTCACACAGAAATAGAGCAGCTCACATAGAAATAGAGCAGCTCACATAGAAATAGAGCAGCTCACACAGAAATAGAGCAGCTCACATAGAAATAGAGCAGCTCACATGGAAATAGAGCAGCTCACATAGAAATAGAGCAGCTCACATAGAAATAGAGCAGCTCACTGAGAAATAGAGCAGCTCATACAGAAATAGAGCAGCTCACATAGAAATAGAGCAGCTCACATAGAAATAGAGCAGCTCACATAGAAATAGAGCAGCTCACATAGAAATAGAGCAGCTCACATAGAAATAGAGCAGCTCACATAGAAATAGAGCAGCTCACATAGAAATAGAGCAGCTCACATAGAAATAGAGCAGCTCACATAGAAATAGAGCAGCTCACATAGAAATAGAGCAGCTCAGATAGAAATAGAGCAGCTCACACAGAAATAGAGCAGCTCACATAGAAATAGAGCAGCTCACATAGAAATAGAGCAGCTCACGTAGAAATAGAGCAGCTCACATAGAAATAGAGCAGCTCACATAGAAATAGAGCAGCTCACATAGAAATAGAGCAGCTCACATAGAAATAGAGCAGCTCACATAGAAATAGAGCAGCTCACATAGAAATAGAGCAGCTCACACAGAAATAGAGCAGCTCACATAGAAATAGAGCAGCTCACATAGAAATAGAGCAGCTCACGTAGAAATAGAGCAGCTCACATAGAAATAGAGCAGCTCACACAGAAATAGAGCAGCTCACATAGAAATAGAGCAGCTCACATAGAAATAGAGCAGCTCACGTAGAAATAGAGCAGCTCACATAGAAATAGAGCAGCTCACATAGAAATAGAGCAGCTCACATAGAAATAGAGCAGCTCACATAGAAATAGAGCAGCTCACATAGAAATAGAGCAGCTCACATAGAAATAGAGCAGCTCACATAGAAATAGAGCAGCTCACACAGAAATAGAGCAGCTCACGTAGAAATAGAGCAGCTCAGCTAAGCGGCCATCGACAGCCGCTGCCGCCACGAGGGTGTCCCCGGCGCCGCCCTCCTCCACGCCGCCAAAGGCGTCCGCCACCACGGCTGCCAGCTGGTGCAACGCCTCCGCACACTCTGATGCGCGCAGGGTGGTGGAGGCCGAGAGGACGGGAGGGGGGTGAGGCGGGGGTCAGTGGTGCCGTGCTGTGCTTAACCACAATTGTTATGCAGGGTGGTGCAGCAATGTGGACAGACGGATGGCAGCATTCGCGTGACCAGCTCACTACGGCAGCATTCGCGTGAGCAGCTCACCAAGAGAGCCAGCAAGAAGTGCGGTGGGAGGCTGGCAGGGAGCACACACGCGGTGCGCTTCACTGCATTGTACCAACAGTCAACACGCCTGCTGATTGCCGCAACAAGCGCCTCACAAGGCAGCGAGTGGCAACAAAGCAACCACCTGCCTCCCACCGCACTGACACCCACGTGCCCATGCGCACAAGCGCCCTGCCCTTACTGAGTGAGCCGTGTTGAAGCGTCTCACATGTTGGTGTTGGATCAGAGTTCACAGGCTTACATAGGACGACCAATCCGTCGTGCACAAGGCATGATTGGGGCTCAATGAATGGTCAACTTAACGCGTGGGGAAGGAGCAAGCACACGGGTTTGACGCGCACCTGCTGCTCTCTCCTGTGCGTCCGCCACGGCTGCCAGCAGGCGCTCGTACTTGTCCCTCATCTCCCCCACCTCCTGCCACCCACGGTGAACGGGGCATGGGGTATGGAGCAACGGGGCATGGGGCATGGCGCATGGGGCATGGGGTATGGAGCAACGGGGCATGGGGCATGGCGCATGGGGCATGGGGCATGGGGCATGGGGCATGGGGCATGGGGCATGGGGCATGGCGCATGGGGCATGGGGCATGGCGCATGGGGCATGGGGCATGGCGCATGGGGCATGGGGCATGGGGCATGGGGCATGGCGCATGGGGCATGGGGCATGGGGCATGGGGCATGGGGCATGGGGCACACGGTAGTATCGGGCATGGGTATGGGGCACATCGCACAGGAAAATGGGTATTGGGCTGGGGGTATAGTCCACAGGGCATGGGGCGTGAAGCGTGGGTGGGGCATGGGGCGTGTGCGGCATTGGGTGCACCCACGGGGTGGGATGGAGAGCAGCACGGCAAGCAGCAGCGAGCGTGGGAGCCCCGCACATCAACAGACAGGAGACGGGGGTCCGCAACTGCAAGCCCCACGCACCTGCAAGCCCCACGCACCTGCAAGCCCTGTTGAAACTCGTCCTCTATGGAGTCTGTCTGCGTCACCGCCATGCCCCTCATGCCCTCCGCCGCGCCGCTGCTCCTCGCCCTGCCCGTTCCGCCCGCCTGCTGCGCGCCTGGCGGCGTCCCCGAGGCCCGCTCCGCTGCGCGCGCATCACCCGCTCTGCCCTTCGCCGCCAGCCCAGTCAGCCGCTTCCACTGCTTCATGCCGCCGCCGCCGCCGCCGCAGTGCTTTAGCGCAGCAGCGCACGGTAGGGGGGCGGAAGGCCTACGCACTACGGGGGCTAACCGCGCCCTTCCCCTCTAGTCGTCTAACGATGTGACTAGACCCGCTGTGCGCGCAACATTACTCTCCGCTGCCGATGGCTATCCGGGAGGTTGAGGGCGGCCTTGGAGGCGGCGGCAGCTGCATCTTGATAACCTAAGGTAACCGTATTTCGTTAACGACGTCGCTGAAATTGCGCCGGTTCGCATTCGACTGAATCTTTCGTGAAAAAAAAGCGCGCGGTGACGCCGAGCGCAGAGGCGGGCCGTGCAGCGGCGGGGCGGCGGGCGCGCTGGCAGGCGGCCTCAGCGCGGGTGACGCGGCCACGGCGACAACCCCGACGCGCCCATCCCACGGCGCCCCACACGAGCACACTGCGGTACGCTGCGCGTTCGACCCGACGACGGACACTGCGAGGCTACGAGATGCGCGGGAGGAGGCAAGTACGTGCTGGGCTGTGCTCCGCCTGTGCGACGCCTGAGAATCGATCTCCGCCAGGGACGACTGTTACTGCAAATACCGCACGAAATCGCAGCTGCTACGGCAAATCAACACTATGCGAGCAAACAATTTGACGGAAACTCGTTACTAGAGCAAATATGTGCATATGTGACCTGACTTCGTGCATATCTGCAATGGAACAAACAAGCGAGGAATGGTAATCAAGGAATGATCGTAATCAATGTACAAAGAATAGTACCATAGAGCTATCTAGAAACATGGCCGAGACGGCCAGCATCCTATAAGGAGCACGTGGAACACATGTTATTCTTTTGTCCTAAATGACAACCGCCAGCAGACTGGGGAGACGCTCTATGCGGTAGCTGTCTACGGGGGTCGGAACGGGTTTCCCAGAAGCCATGAGAATCTGAGGTCGGGGTGAATGGAGGGTGTACCATTCCTATCGAAGCGGAGGAAGCAGAGTTTCTGTGCTCGCTTGATGCTGGAGGATGTGCGTTGTCGCTTCTTGGTAGATTGGCGTCTGCTTCTCCAAATATAAATCTTGAAGGCGATGAGGAATTGGGCTAATATCAGCTGCAGTATCTCGAAGCTTGAGGAGGAGGAGTTGTGGTACTTGTGGGCGCAGCGAGCATTCCACAGCGTCTTAACTGCAGCTCCCACTAGTAGGCTCCATGGGGGGGACTGTCCCACCCGTGACTGTATCGGGAAGAATATGTGCTCGGCGGTGGTGGTTTGTCCAAGGTGGCGGTCAGCGACTGTGCGGAGGGCCGAGATGACATTTTCGGCGGAGGAACATTCGAAAAATATATGCGGCAGTGTCTCGACAACGGCAGCTGGGCATCGAGGGCAGATCCCCCGATCGTCAAAGTATTGGAAGCGTGACCCTGAGGGAAGGGTGAGCGTGTAAAGTCTGAAAAGGATGTCCCGCTGGCGGCTCGGCAGGTCCCTGAGAAATGAGTTCTTAATGCCAGGGAGAGGAGGAGGAGGAAGGGTGAGGTCGCGGGTCCATCGGAGGTGATGAGTTAGTGGTTGTGCTGAGTAGAGGAGACGACGGATGTCGGCGATGCTGGGGGTGCCGTCCTGTAGAAGTTCCACCCTAGCTCCTAGCCCTGCCCCTATGTGAAGTGGCCCTGCGAGCCACCAATCCATGACATGCACCTCCACAAGGTCTTGTAAGCGGAAGAGTCCGGTGTCTGCTGGGGTGCGGGCGATGCGCTTGTTTGGCGAGACATGGTGGGCAGTAACCGAGACGGAGGAGGGGGGAATGAAGGCGACAACTTGAAGGGCGAGATGAGAGATGGAATAGTGGTCGTCCGAAAGCATGAACCAGTCTCCTAGAGAGGCAGAAGAGGCGTGTGGGGTTCGGAGGGCGGCCCACCAGGGAGGTTTGATAGCATTGATAAGGTCTGGGAGGATGCGTGTTGCGTCTTCGTGGAATTCCTCTGGGACTTGGGAGCACAATTCTTCTTCAGAGATGGGGCCGACATGAAAGTTGGTGATTCGGACAATGTGTCCGATGCGGAACTGCCCTGTAAGGAGGAAGCGCTCGTGTTGGCGGGTGCCAAAAGGCCGTTTGTCGGGTTTGAGTAACGAGCAGTTGAAGGCGATAGGTTCGGTGAGGATGCACTGCATGCGTAAGGAGGGGCCATGAATAACCAGGGGGAGGGAGAGGAGGGCTTTTAGTTCGTCCAGCGCCCGAGGGGGGATGAATGTGGGGAGATAGTCCCGTTCGAGAATGGCTTTATTGTCAAGATAGCAAGCAGGAATGGTTGCATTGAATGAATTGTGGGTACAAGTACCAACCCTAATCTTGGGTTGTACCCCACATGGGCTACCCCACTATAGCCTACACACAACTAGCACAGATATGGTTTGACACACCCCCATAGGCAAAGTGGGGGAGAACAAGGGGTCACAAGACCAGTCAGGAAAAGCAATGCAAGCTCAGGGTGGATCACAACGTCACCACACACTCCGAGCACAAGCAAAGGAGCCACAAGGCCAGTTCACATGCAGAGGTATATATGCAACAACAACAGTACAGTGATCACTACCTAGCAAGAGTAAACATGCAGGTATATATATATAGATCACAGTACAATCAGAGTCTACAGCAAGTGAGGAAACGTAGGCACCAGGCCTAGAGCAGTGCAGAAGCGCTGATGATCACCAGCCGGAAGGGCCTTGGTGAACACATCAGCCGTGTTCGCCCGGGTGGGCACGTGGGCGAAACGAAGCTGACCACGCTGCTGCAACTCTCGAGCAAGGAAGTAACGCAGAGCGATGTGCTTCGTTCTGTGCTCCATTCTGTGGTCCAGACACAAGGCAATTGCAGCCTTGTTGTCGACGTACAGAACTGGAGGAAAACGAGGCCTCTCTCCCAAGTCGGTCAGCAGGTAGGTGAGCCAGCGTAGCTCCTGTGCAGCCATGGCTGTGGCGTAGATCTCAGCCTCACAACTGGAGCTGAGAACAGAAGACGAGCGTGTAGACCGCCAAGAAACAGAGCCAGAGCCAAGGCTGAACGTGTAACCCTGTGACGACCGCTGCGTAGCCAGGTCGTCAGCCCAAGAAGCGTCTGAGTGCCTAGTGAGGACAACTGAGCTCCGCCCTCCAAGCACGAGCCCCATGCCCGATGTACTGCACAAGTAGCGCAGTACCCTCTTCGCATCATCCATGTGCACCTTTCGGTGCCTACCAGGAGCCACGTAGCGTGCCAGAAGGCCAAGAGGGTACGCAAGGTCAGGACGAGTGCAGGTCATCAGGTACATGAGGCAGCCCACTAGCTCTGGGTACGGACCACTCGGCTCTACGGACTCGTCCGAAGGTGGAGCTGAGAGCGAGTGACCGAAGTGAAGCCGAAGCGCTGAAGGACCTGCTGCACCATGTGTGACTGAGTCAGTGTGATGGTGCGCCGTGCTCTGTCCCGGGTGATTTGCAGGCCAAGGTAGCTGCGCAGCTCACCCAGATCTGTGCACGTGTGTCTCTTCTGCAGCTCCGACTTCACAAGGGCGAGAGCCTCAGTGTCAGCAGTGGCAAAGACCAAGTCGTCGACGTACACGAGGATGTAGAACGGCGGCAGCGAAGTGTCGGTGCGCAGAAACAGCGACGGGTCAGCAGTGGAAGGTGCAAATCCAAGAGCCGCAAGTGTCGTCCTCAGTGTGTCGTGCCACTCACGAGGCGCCTGACGGAGACCGTAGACTGGCCGGCGGAGGCTCCACTGGGTACCAGGAGGGAACGACCCAGTGAAGCCAGGTGGGCGGCGCAGCCAGATCTCCTCGTGCAGACAGCCCTGTAAGAACGCTGTGCTGAAGTCCAGAGAGTGAAGCTCGCAGTCACGCTGAGCGGCAACGTGCAGCAGCACCCGAAGAGTGGTCATCTTCGGGGTGGGGGAGAAGGTCTGGAAGAAGTCAACTCCCTGTCGCTGACTGAAGCCTCGTGCAACGTAACGAGCCTTGAAGACAGGCGGAGAACCCGGCGGCCGCTTCACCCTGAAAATCCACATGCCATCGACTACGTTCGCCCCAGGAGGGGGAACTGCGTCGACGTAAGTGCCTGTGGACTTCCAGGATGCCATCTCTGCGTCCATGGCTGTCTGCCACTGAGAGGAGTACTCACCCGCGATCGCCTCAGCGTAAGAGCGCGGGGTCGGGATGTCTGGAGCATCCGGGTCTCCCTCAGAGGCAAGCAGCATGGCCACGAGATGAGGCGCAGCGGCTGCAAGACACTCAAAGTCCTCGTGCCTGTCTTCAAGGACGTCCGTGCCAAGAGCATACTCACCCCCGACGGACGGAGGATAGACAGACTCAGACTCAGCAACAAGACTAGCAGCGAAGTCTAGACTATAGGCAGCAGCAAAGTCAACAAGCTCAGGGACTAAGGCAGACGCAGCAGCAGACTCAAACGACGGGTCAGTGACAACAGTGGCTAGCAGACGCGTGACAGTGGGGTGAGCAGCACGAACCAGGTCAGACTCAGCGTCCGGAATGTCAGGCAGAGAAGACGCAGGAGGAGACGGCAGGGGAAAACGCTGTGGAATAGAGGAAGGACGAAGTGCCATAGCGTGCGTGCCAGGGACAGGAGGTGGACACTCACGAGGAACACGACTACCAGGGCGACGCGCGCGAACAGGCGAGGCAGGACGAGACGCAGGCTCACAACGCTCTGTAAGCGAATCTGTCTGCTCAGTGTAAGGAGAAGGAGCATGCAGCGGAGAGCCTGGCTGTAACGGGAGACCAGTAGAAGACGGGAGGCTAAGAACCTGGCGAAGCGCGGAGTCAGGCGGTGGCAGAGACGACGGTGACGGCGGAGCAAAGAACAGTCGCGGCTGTGCAGTACCACCAGCACTAGTACCACCAGCTCCAGCGCCTCCAGCAGCTCCAGAACCTCCAGCTCCAGCGCCTCTAGCTCCAGCGCCTCCAGCTCCAGTACCTCCAGCTCCAGCGCCTCCAGCGCCAGCGCCTCCAGCTCCAAAGCCCACAGC